ATTGAAGCAATCCGGTGGATGTGGTATACCCGTCTAAGTGATTATTTGATTAGTCAGGGATTGAATGAATGCCCTTGTGTGTTAAACTATGAAGTCTTATTCCGAATTGCTAGAGTTACATTTTATGTCGCTAATAAGAATCTCACTAAGACTCTAGAAAAGCTTGAGAAAACTGTCTTGCACTTGAAGATGGAATTTAAGATGAATGATTTTGGGAAAACTCATTTATACCTTGACTTGAAGTTCAAGCGTGGTTCTGACGGTACCTTGGTCTACCAGTCGAATTACACCTTAAATGTGTTATCTTGGAGCATATCTATGATCGTCCATACGTTATATGCAAATGAGACCCTTAAAGAGGTTATGGAATTCGAAATTCCATATCTAAGTTCAATTTTGCGCTTCGTTGTACTTAGCTCATTGTATTAGACAGGACATCTCCTTCGCTGTTGATCTATTAGTAAAAATGCAACACCGTGCCTACACGTAACCACATAATTAGTATTAAAGAAGTACCCTGAAGGTATTATGAATTTGGGCAAATCCTAACGCATCTCGAGCAGATCTAACCCCCCTGATCCTCGGAATGATGCTTGCCTTGTTTGTTATGCTGTCGCTGGTTACTTATCAAACCCGCACAAGGGAAAATCCCCGAATGGTTATGTCTTTACCGTTAGGGATATTGCAATATCTTGGAAGTCCACGATATGACCTAAGTTGCAAAATCTTCAAATCGTTTCAAGACTCACCTCACTTCACTACGCATGAGACATATTTAGGCATTCTTGTTGAGCATATTCAAAGTACTTGCTATTTTCATCAATCGTTGAGTCACAACAACGATCCATGAAGAGTATGCCGTATGTATCAGCTCGACCAAGTCATGATACATCAACGAAGTCAACGCCACGACATAATGCGTCTACATCAGCAAATCATCAGAAGATTGAAGTCATGCAAATAGATCCCAGACAACCTTGCCGACCTTTACACGACATCATTGCTGAAGTCAACCTTCCAGAAGCTTGTCCGAGGAATTGGTATGCCTAACTATTCATATGTAATGCTTGTAGTTCTCATTTAGAAGTTATGTCAAACTTAGGGAGAGTATCCGGAAGTATACTCACTTGATCTTAATGTACTCTTTTTCTCTACGATTAAGAGCATTTTTCCCACTGGGTTTTTGCTACCCAACTAGGTTTTGACGAGGCACCTATCCTGGGCTGATCATACTCTTGTGATCTCTTCTACTTGCATCCAAAAGACGTATAGTTTTGACTTAATGCAACTTCTCACTTTTCTCCTTAGTCTATGGGTTTTTATCCCACATTGGGTTTTACCATAGCGAGGTTTTATGAGTTTTACCTTTTTATACATTATTTAGTTAATTTGAGACTTGCATTTGCTCATTGTGCCGACAACTTCATCAACTGTACTTACTTCATCGTTGAATACCTGATGCGCTATTTACTTGAGTATTTACACATTCAAGGGGGAGTGTTGTAGTCCTATTAGATTAGGAATGTGATTGTGTAAATCCTAGTAGATCTAGGAATATCTCTTTATATTCCTATTATGAGTTGATTACCTATTAAGAGTTGTAATCCTAAAAAGGTAAGGAATTAATTTTCCATACTACTATAAATAAAGGCACAATGAGGTGGAATAAAACACACCTCACAATTACACATCTCTCTCTTCTCTCTACTATTGCCGCACCCTCTTTCTATGGTCTCCATAATTGTTCAGTAAATTATGCCTACAACAGGTTTTTAATTCTTTTATCATTATATGTCAAATAATAAATAATTTATACACAACAAGTGATATTTTGGTATGTAATAATTATGGTTCTTAATTCTTTTATCATTATATTTCATAATATATAATTTGTATACAACGAGTGATATTTCGTATGTAATTATTTGTTTATTTTTGTCACTATTTGTCCATTTATAACTGGTGAGTAGTAAAAAAACGTGTCCATTTCTATTATTACATATCATGTGATACATAATTGTATACAATTAGTGACATAGAAGTTTTTACTATCAATAAGATAAAAAATTGAGCCCAAAATATTTGGCTAATATAACTTTTTTTTTCACCTTACATTCTGAGTAAATTTTTATGAAGTTTATATTGTTACATTGATACATTCTTGTTGATTTGAAACTTATAGAAGTGTGAAGCGTAATGTTTTTCAGCAAACTTCCAATCTTTTATATTTAATTTTACGGGCCTATATTTATCGACATTTCTCTCAATTAGGAACTAATAATATTTTAACCTAAATCAAGACATAAATCCTTGTTATATGCTAACTTGCTAAGTACTAAGTAGGGGGTAGAATTAGGAAATTAAATAACCAACCATAAAGTCAAAAAATAAACTGTTGAGAGGTGAGAACAGTCGACCATTGCAAATTCAAAAAATGGATAACAACGTAACCATTTATAAAATATTACAAAAGGGAAGATAATTTTATTTCTGATTTGATGGACACAGTACAGTGTTTGTACACCAGAGAATTTGAAGCAGTTTAGAAATTTTTTAATGAGTTCAGTACAGTCGGATATAAATTAAAAACTGGAGTTCTTGAGTCCGAAATCCACTATTGGTGTGAAAGTCAGACTTGCAGTCAGGAAAGATTGAAATGCCTATTTAAGTCTTTCCAACACCTCAAAAGATAATAAATGTGACTTGTTAGCAGTTATCCTTTTTTTTTTTATTAAAAAAGAAAAGGTAAAGTCGGATATTCCATTGCAGTGTACGTACTCATCCAACGTTGGAAGTTACGAAAAAATATTAATAAAAATTAAAAAAAATTAAGTGTTCCAGAGAGTGGTGCACCAAACAATGCCATTTTCCCGTAACAGCAGCAACTGAACTGAATTATATCTCTCTTAGATTAGATCCTCCCCTTTGGACTCGGGACCATCTCCAACCTGCCTTTCATCATCATTGCTATCACATTTTTGTATGATATTCTACGCTTAGCGGCCTCGTTTGGTACGTCGGATTGTTTTGAGTGATATTAGAGAGAGAAAAGTGAGATTACTGAGCCGGACATGGCGTGCTTGAAGCTGGGATCCAAATCTGAAGTGTTTTACCTTGATGGCCAAACTTGGTACCTTTTTTTTTTTCTTTTTTTTTGGGTTTTGGTGCTTTTGTTTCGATTTATTGCTACCACATTTATTAACATGGTGATTTCAGAATGCTGGGTTTATCATATATTGATATATACCACATTTGCATTTTTAATTTCTGGTTTCTGGGATTTTCTCATTCCTGTTAATTCCTTGTAGAAAATTGCTCAATTGGGTTTTGTTGTTTCTTTTGTCACTGTTTTATGAACTAATCAAGCATTGTGAGTTGAATTACTGACTTCTTCTAATACTGAGGATGATTTATCGATGGTTAATTTCGGTTGCCAATACTCTTGATTTGCTGAGGGATATACGTTTTACAGTTTCATTGATCCCGGACTGTGGACTGAGCATCAGTGTGTGCGCGCGCGCGACTCTGCACATTGTACGCGTAAATTGTGTATTCTGATGTATTTACCTATGATTAATCATAAGAAAGCTTTCCTATAGTAATGCACCTTCCTTCCCTTATCTTTTCCCGGCATTGTAAAAAAATTTCACTCTGTTGTACACTGTTATTTTTCTGTCAAGCCACTCAAAGGAATCCGTCATATGTAAGCCGGGTTCTGCAATCAATTGTTTCCGTGTGAAAATGCTAGAAAATTTACCAGTGGTTGCAGGGTGAACTGATATTGTTTAAGCACATTGCACAACTTCTAAGATACAATGTGGAATGTCTCACGAGTAGACAAGGATTAGAAGAAGATGCATTAATTTAGTTCATAGAGAGATTTAGAAGTATAAATTTTTTGCTTTATTAATTGTTGGTGTTTGGGAGGAAGGCAAAGCATGGACTCAGTCTTATGAACTGTAGAACCGTAGAAATTTCCACATCGAGACTTGATTCATTGTGACAAGAAACTGTCTTGTTTTTTTAAGAGCAAATGCTTTATGTACTTTACATTCATCTGTTTCAAACTTCTCTATAAATTGTTGACTTAAGTAATATCAAAAGGATGGTGCTATCTACACATCTCTTTTTACTTTTCAAACACCCCCTGTTAATTTCTGACATTTGATCCTCGTCAATTAATCAATTTAACGGCCGGAAATTGAGAAGGGTGTGTAAAAAGGGGTGTGTGGATAGCACCATCCTATCATAAAGTGTATGACTTAACCTTGCTAGTTTTTTGCTAATGCTTTCTTGCCTGGCGGGTTTTATGTGGTTTGGGGTTGAAGTTGAATTTTTGTATTCTTTTGTCACATAATTTTGTGCTCTCTGCTGTTAAAACTCCTTCATCCTTGATCCTTTTGAGGTCACTGGCCTGCTTGAAACCTGTTGCCCACTTTCGCTTCTCGCTTCATGAAGCGATTGTTACATGCACATCTGCACATCCTAGTCGTCATTTTCTGTCAGAAGATCCCTCAATGGCTTTTGTTTGAGGATAAAAGATAAGTTTCCGATAGCAGTTGAGTTGAGTGGTGAGATCAATGTACAATCTCCTTGATTTACAAAAAAGAAAGCCTAACTAGCATACAGAGAAAAAGATTTCAGGCAACGTAACACAAGTGACATAGACGAGTGAAAACCAAACTTCGACTAGACAAATATTATTTCTGCATTGATGTCAATGTTTGTGCATTCCTTGTTGCTCTCATACTATTAAAAATACGTAACAGTTATGCTTTTGTTAATAAGTTCGACCTCTGTGTCCTTTGTCTTCTGTACTTGAGAATAAGTATTCTCTTTGGCAGGCTTTGCTCAACTGGACTTGCTAGTGATGTCATTGTTGAAGTTGGAGAAACGTCCTTCCATCTCCACAAGGTGAAATTTGCTTGTTCAAGCTTAAAATTATGTTGTTCGTTCGTTTCTCATTATGAACTCTGAATTCTACACAATATATTAGTACTAGGAGTTCGTTTTGCAAATTAAACGCCTATCCTTTACCTTGCCTCTCAAATTATTGTAGATTTTATTCCAATGTCTACATATGCAGCTCTGTGTTTTCTTTCATGCCTATGCTCATGAGCTGTAATTTTTCTACCTTTGTTCGATATATCCACCAGTTTCCGTTGCTATCCAGAAGTGGATTACTAGAAAACATTATTGGAGAACTTTCTAGCGAGGATGATCAGAAATGCATGGTGCAACTGAATGACATTCCAGGTGGAGCCAAAATTTTTTTGCTGGTAGCCAAATTTTGTTACGGTGTAAGAATAGAACTGAACGCGTTGAATGTAGTTAGTGTAAGGTGCGCTGCTGAGCATCTTCGCATGAGTGAAGAATATGGAGAGGGAAACCTCATCACACAAGCGGAGGATTTTCTAAACGAAATCTTCAGCAATTGGAGTGACTCCATTAAAGCACTTGAAACCTGCGAAGAGGTCTTGCCTCATGCAGAAGAGCTTCATCTTGTTTCGAGATGCATCAATTCATTGGCAATGAAAGCGAGTGCCGATCCAGGTTTATTTAGTTGGCCTGTGTCGGGAAAGAAGGCCTTGCAGAGCTCAGAGGGTGCGGTGTTTTGGAATGGAATATGCACGACAGCAAAGCCACATCCAGTCAGTGAAGATTGGTGGTATGAAGATGTCTCATTTCTTAAGTTTCCATTTTTCAAGAGGCTGATTCGAGCAGTTGAATTAGGAGGCATGAACCAAGAGAGGAAGGCTGGCTCCATAATGCACTATGCAAAGAGGCACCTTTCCTTGTTGGGTAGGCAATCGAGTTTCCATAATGGAAATCGTGCTGCCCCGTTATCAACTGTTCCTGCTGCATCTGATGGAGAGCAAATGACTCTCCTTGAGGAGATTGTGGGATTACTTCCTGATCAGAAGGGCGTTGTGCCAACGAACTTCCTGCTTAGGCTTCTCCGAACATCTATGATTTTGCAAGCTAGTGCATCATGTTGTGAGAGCTTAGAGAAACGAGTTGGGGCTCAATTGGATCAAGCAGCTCTTAAAGATCTTCTGATACCAAACATGGGGTACTCAGTGGAGACCCTATATGATATTGACTGCATTCAGCGGATTCTTGACCACTTCATTCTCATGGACCGCGATTCGATTGATTATACTTCTAGCTGTATTGTTGATGAGGGCGCTTCTCATTCGCTGACTGCAATAACCTCGGTGGCTAACCTGATTGATGGATATCTGGCTGAAGTTGCACCTGATGTTAACTTGAAACAGCAGAAATTTCAGTCGCTAGCTGCTGTTATCCCGGAATATGCCAGACCATTAGATGATGGAATTTATCGCGCCATTGATTTATACCTCAAGGTAAAGATCCTCTAAATTCTGTTCATACTCAAGATTATTTGATAACTTAAGCGCTGCGCATGTTTGGTTCTTGTAGTTTTGCTTTTGAAAAATACAGGAACGAAAGTGGAAACATTGCGATACTACAGGGACTTGAAAACATGTTTTCACTTTTGGATATTGCATCCATTGAAATGTTCATATTTCATTACTTCTTCAACATACTTAATCTGTTTGATAACTTTTTCTGACTTAGCATTCCATTGCTTACATTTTTCTCAAGTTCAGGCCCATCCTTGGCTGACAGACTCCGAGAGGGAACAAATCTGCCGGCTCATGAACTGCCAGAAGCTCTCATTGGAAGCCAGCACGCACGCAGCGCAGAATGAGAGGCTACCGCTTCGCGTCATCGTCCAAGTTCTATTCTTCGAACAGCTTCGCCTGCGCACATCAATTTCCGGTTGGTTCTTTGTATCTGAGAACCTCGAGATCTCACAAAACCAAAGTAGAAATCTTGCGCTTGCTCGAAATGAGGCACCTGCTCAAGCTAGCACTGTGCGGCGTGTGCGCGATCATTTTGTAACAGTTGATGACATGAGGGAACGAGTTTCGGAGCTCGAGAAAGAGTGCTTGAGCATGAAGCAAGAGATTGAGAAGCTGGTGAAGACAAAGGGGAGTTGGAACACATTCTTGAAGAGGTTTGGTTTGAGGCTCAAGTTAAAATCTGATGCAGAAAAGCACGCAAACCCTGCAATAATTCCAAAGAACAACCAACATCCATAGGTCCACCAGTGAATGGAAAACAAAATTATGAAAATTATGAAAATAATAAATTAAGAGATTGATATTTAAAAAAACTCGCACTTTATTCAACTTTGTTTTTATTTCTTTGGGATAATTTTTTATTCATTTTTTCCCTACCCCTTTTTGTTCGATTTATTTAATGATTAGTGTAGTGTTTGCTCTAGGATATGCCTTTGTAATTATACTTTTTGTATTACATATAATTTTCTCTTTCTCAATTATATTATGTTCATCTGCCAATGTATGTTCCTTCAATACGCTAATTTTTTTTACTTTTCTTAATTTCAGTCACCAAAATCATTGTTTTATTAATTGAACAATTACTTATTTGTTTATTCGCCTTGATAAATAAAATTGAAAATTCCCACTTTGTTCATGTTGGGATTTTATTTTCTTCCAATTATGCCTGATATTTTAATTTCGTAATCAAATTTCTTGTTCATACATTATTTTACTCTAACTAGTATATGTTGAAGAGAGGAAAATTCAAACTCGGTAGCATTTCAATTCTAACTAATGTGGTTGTACCTTTAAATGAAACCTACAAAAGTTGTCTAGGTGAAATATAAACCAATACTAGGGGTGGTTTCAGTATGGTTATTGTACTCAAATCCCAGTACCAATTACTATACCAAACTTTTGGTATGACAAAATCTATTATCATTACCATATCAAATTTTTGGTAAGCCATATAATTCGGTTGACATGGTATGGTAATGGTAATTGCTACTTTGTTTTCGGCCAAATTTTGATTTTTTTTCCCTATCAAATTCAAGGCCCAAACATTTGTTTTTTCTATTTTTATGGCTTTATCCATATATGGTGACCTAAATTACAAAACCCAAATAGAATCCTGCAGTAAGAAACCACAGGCAACAAGCAAAGGCAAGAAGACCAACACCAATCCTTAGAGAGAGAGAGAGAGAGAGAGAGAGAGAGAGAGAGAGAGAGGGGGGGGGGAATGAAGGGTTTTTCCTAAATATTATCAATATTATCAATATTGTACAAAAAAATTTCGGTTCAATACAATACCGTGCCATTACCAATTGGCACAAAATCGATGTGGTACGGTTGGCATAGTAATTTGGCAATAAATTTCACCCCTAACTAATACTATTAGAGTCATGTATTCTATAATTTTGAATATAAGTACATACAATCCTTGTTACATAAGGAAACAATAAAGGAAAAAATAAAGGACACAAATAACCTTCCTAAAACATGACTCTAATATTTACATTCCCTTTCTCCTACACATTGACTCATGCAATACTCCCCCTCAAGTTGGTGCATAGATATCACACATGCCTAACTTGATAAGTGAGTCATCAAATCTCCTACTACACAGCATGAGTAAAAACATTTGTAAGTTGTTCTTCCGAGTTCACAAACGGTATTGACACAATCTTTTTCTCAAGCTTCTCTTTAATGAAATGTAGATCAACCTCAACATGCTTAGTCCTATCATGTTGCACTAGATTCTCTGTTATCTCTCTTGCCGACTTATTGTCACAATACAATTTCATTGCCTCTTCTTGTTTAAAATCGAGACCCCAAAGCAACTTTCGTAGCCAAAGAATCTCACACACACCATGCGCCATGCCCCTGTATTCAACTTCTACATAAGATCGTGACACCACATTCTGTTTCTTGCTCCACCAAGTAACTAGATTACCTCCAATGAACGTAAAGTACCTAGACATAGAACTCCTATTAGTCACATCACTTGCCTAATCAGCATCAGTAAATCCCTCAATCCTCATATGTCCATGATGCTCATACAAAATTCCCTTTCCTGGAGCATACTTGAAATATGCCAAAATTCTCATAACCGCCGCCATATGATCCACACTCGATGAGTGCATAAACTGACTCACCACACTCACTGCATAAGCAATATCTGAACGAGTGTGGGAAAAATAAATCAGTCTCCCTACTCGTCTCTGATATTTGCCTTTGTCAACCAGTTTCTGATATGGATAAATCCCTAAATAATGTTTTTTTACAATATGAGTGTCCACAGGTTTACATCCAAGCATGCCTATTTCCTTCAATAAATCCAGAACATATTTACGTTGAGATAAGAAAATACCTCTAGACGAACGAGTTACTTCTACTCCAAGGAAATATTTTAAATCTCCCAAATTTTTCATCTTAAACTCGACGGCAAAACTCTGTTCTAGTTTTTTCATCTCTTCTGAATCATCACCTATTATTATCATGTCATCCACATAAATAATTAAGGTTGTCACTTTACCACTTCTCCATCTTAGAAACAACGTATGGTCGGAGTGACTCTGGTAATATCCAATCCTCCTCATAACTTGAGTAAATCTACCAAACCATGCACAAGGTGATTGCTTAAGCCACAAAGCGACTTTTGCAACCTACATACTCCGGTTTTCCCTTCGGCATTATACCCCGAAGGAAAATCCATATATACTTCTTCTTCCAAATTCACATGAAGAAAATCATTTTTTACATCAAACTGTTTTAGTGGCCAATTCAAATTTGCAGCTAATGAGATAAGAACACGCACTGTATTCATCTTGGCTATTGGAGAAAAAGTTTCCTGGTAATCAACACCATACGTTTGAGTTTAACCTTTTGCTACTAACCTTGCTTTATACATATCTATTGATCCGTCGGTCGTGTATTTAATTGTAAAGACCCATGTACACCCAATTGGTTTTTTTCCTTTCGGTAGTTCCATTAGCTCCCATGTATCATTCTTATGTAGTGCCATCATTTCTTCATCCATTGCAACAACCCATTAGGATCCTTCAAAGCCTCCTCAACTCGGGTTGGTACTTGGTTAGGCAGCAGCTAGGTGCTGGGCTATTTCGATATTCTCTGCAGACCCTTACCAATTTGCTGCACCTGTCTCGTCAGGCAGCAGCTGATGCCCTATCACATTCTTGGCAGTTTATTGCCAAAACCCATTTATCACATTCTCAGCAGTTTCTTGCCGAGACCCATTTATCACATTGTTTGATATTTCTAACCACCCTAGATCACCTTGATCACCACTAGTTTTTTCCCCCTGGAAATCTAAAGGTGATGGGATTGAAGAATAAAAATACTCGGATTTAGGAAAAGTAACATCCATGGTCATATACATATGGCAAGTTTTAGGATGATAACACTTATACCCTTTCTGTTGGGAGGCAAACCCAACAAAGACACACCGAATGGCACATGAATCCAATTTGCTACGATGAATCTTGTGAATATGAACATACACTACACACCCAAACACACGAGGAGTTAGGGTATGTTGAAAAACCTCACACTAGACCTTGTTCTTTAATGTAACCAACGACAATAAACTAAACTAGCAAATATAGAAAACTTAGAAGCACACAAGACTTATACTTGTTCGGCATTGGTACGTTTGAAGCATCATTATGTATCATCACAGGGCTCACAACTAAATTGTTGGTGGTCGTACGTGAACCACCCTCCAACTTCAGCCATGAGTTTTCTTCAACACTAGCCATCTTGATTCACGGATAATAGAGCAACATCATGGCAATGTTGATTTTCTACAAAACAGAGCAGCAAAAAGGAAACACTGCAGTATCCCAACAATACTCACGGCAATGGTAGCAAGCAAAGCCTTTGCAGTTTCACGGCAGCAGCGGCATGGTATGAATATTTTTTTTATCTGGTTTAGGGTTACGACAACTAGGCTCAGATGCCAAATAGAATTTTACGACTTAATTCTCATGTATTCCATAATTCTAAATATAAGTACATACAATCCTTGTTACATTAAGAAACAATAAAGGACACAAATAGCCTTCCTAAAACATGATTCTAATATTTACATTCCCTTTCTCCTACACATTGACTCACGCAATAGTTTGGACAAAGAAAATAAACATGAAATTTTGAAAAAGTCATAATTTATAAATTGGCATGCTTTAATTCCATTGTTTGGATTCATAAACATAGAAATTTAGAATTTTCACATGAAAAAAAAAATTGGAATTTGGGACCTCCAGTTCCCAAGTTTAAGCTCCATGTAAATAGGTGTCATTTTCAAATTTCTTGTTTTTTTAGGTTAATCAAATAAGAAAATTCACAAATTCTAAAAAATAGAATTCCCTCATTTCTATTTCCATCATTTTGAAATTCCTTATTAATTAATCTTAAATTTCCTCATCTAAACATAAAATAAGGGAGATTCAAATACAGCTACATACCTGCTCTAGCCATATGAACATGCACATTAAATAAAAACTACATAACTTGTCCAAACAGATGTAAATTGAGAGGGAGATTTAAATGCGGCTACATATTCAAGTCACCACGTCATCATGTAGACGTACTTATATTATTGCATGTGTATCTTAAAAATGCCGTCAAAACCTAATTACATAGGCTTGATACAAGCATTTAAAAGAATCTAGTAAATTAAAAATCCCATCAAAACCTAATTAAGAATGCCGTCAATACCCACCCTGAGTTTCTGATACAACACATAGATGAGCCGAGTGGTTCTATCAAACCCGCTAATATTATAACTAATTTATCAATTGATTAATATTATGACACATTAACTTTGAACTTTTCCGACTATGAAAATTAGTAACTCGACTGGAAAAATTCAGACACAGTGAGATAATTAAAAAAACCTAAAACCCTAATTACCCTAACCTAATGGATAAGTTTCCGACAAGACCGAGTATTTATATGTTTTTAGCACCCAGCAGCCGTCTTATCATATCTTGACTCGCTCGAGTAAAACAAACCTAGACAGCGACAGACACGGGAATCCATTTTCCCAAATCCCCAAATCCAACAACCCCCAATTTCTACCATGGACAGACCGAGGAAGCTGAATCACCGGCGGAACCTCAACCGCAGCTGGGAGGACATGGAACAGAACTGTTTGGCTCAAGTGTTCATCCGAGTCGGACTGGAGTCGCTCCTCCTTTTCATCCCGTTCGTGTGCAAATCCTGGTACAGCGCCACCAAAAACCCCGCCTGCTGGGAGCGCATCATTTTCCCCGACGCCAATGACGACGTCACCGATCCTTTCAGCGTCAACGACGCCGTTTTGGACCGCCCCTGGACCCGGGCGAATCGAACCGAAAATCAGCGTTTCGACGTCTTCATCCGGACATTCGCGCGCGAAAATGACATTTTGTGGCGATACTTCTCGATCACGAATTTCATGAAAATGGTCATCGACCGCAGCGCTGGCAGCCTCCGGTTCCTGAAAATCCCTGGCCTCCTCAGCCACTACATGTTCGCGATCCACAAAACCCTCCAGCACGTCGGCAAGAGCTGCAAGAACTTCGCGGGGCTGCAGCTGACAAACGCAGCGATAGGGCGAAGCGAGGCGGAGGCGATCGTGACATTTGTGCCCAACCTGAGCTTTCTGTCTCTGAGGAGGTCGCAGATCCCGAGGGAGTTGATGGTGATGCTGCTCAAGGGGATGAAGAACCTGGTGCTGTTGGACGTGAGGGAGTGTGTTGGGTTCGACCAGCAGGACGAGGAGATTTTGCGGCTGGCTTCGGAGATTCCTACGTTTCTGTGTCGGGGGGCGAGGATTTGTGCCCAGGAGCACCTGTTGCGTATGTCGGATGGGTCATTGGTTCATGTCATTGCCGTGGATTAGTTAGTGAGATTGCTGTAAAAGAGAAGAGTGTACCAGTTCTACCGACCAAATCGGAATAAATAAAAGACTGGACTTTTTTAGTTTTATTATTATTCATTTTGTTATTTTAATATGCAAATGGACCGTAGACGTGAGTTTGACCGGTTGGTTAAAGCTGTGTGTTCGTAATCTACCATATCCAAGTTCGGACTGTGTATTATCTGAATCATGGTAGTTTTTTTTTTTTTTTTTTTTTAAGGTTTACTGTTGAACAAAGCCAAATGGCATTTTAGCAGTGGTTTTGGGTCCGATGAGCGTGGCGATTACAAGCATCAGCAAAACAAAAGCTGCCATGACTGCGATCAAATCATCGACGTACAAAGGAAAGGGGCGAAGACCAGGATCGTCTCTCAGACTTTTAGAGTCATGTGCAAAATTTATAAAAAAAACCATTCTTAAGATGATTTAAAAACATAAATGCTCGAAAATAATAACCTAAATCAAAATAAACTTTATGACTCACTGATTGTAAATTTACAAATACCTTTAAATAATAAGTAAAAGGCCTACAAACATAACCTTCACTAATAATCAAATCAGTTCAATCTTAAACAACTAAACAAGAAAAAACCCTTTAAAAACTCTAACTTTAAAGTTTCACTTGAATATCTAGCATTATTATATAATAACTTTGAAAAAAAAAATCATCTTTAGGGTATTGTTATTGACACTTCAAGTATTTCATTATGCAGTCCAAATTTTTATATTAGAAAAAAAAATTACACTTATAAAGAGTGGATAACGAGATTTTAAAGTACTAATAAAAGCAATTTTTTAATATATATCATTGTTACATATAAATTTCAGATGTCAAAAAAAATGTTAGGGGCCCTTCAAATTTGGGACCTAATGCAATCACACCTTTTGCTCCCCCTCAACACACCCCTTTTGGGGGAGACACCCATTTATCTGGTACGGCCTTCCGATGATCTCACTCACCGTGTGCGGCACGGTGGGGCTCGGTCACATGATTCAAGGAAGCAAGGACATCAACGAGAGCCGAAAAGCACTTTCCAGAATGAGACCCGTCGACGCCTACAAACCAAAGAAGACATCTCTCGAGGAAGAGCTCAAGGTACAAGCTTTCAAATAAGCCAAAAGCAGTTGAAAAGTGTTTTTGGGAGCTTTTTGATTGATTTTGGCACTTACCAATTCGATTTTGTAGGTTTTGCAGCAGAACGTGGACATTAACAAGTACGATTACAAGCCGATTCATCGCTCAAGCGAAAGCAATAAATAAATGACTGATTAACATGTGGTTTTGTTTTGTTTATGTGATTGGCGGGAATTAGTTCAAGTTTTTTGCTCAATCAATAAGCAATTAACAATTTAACATGTTTGATGTTTCATTCTCTCATGAATAAAGCTTTATTTTCGACCAAAAACAAAAAAACAAAAAAACAAAACTGCACCTTTCTCTTTTGTATCCTTCATAGCGATTTGGGCTCCGCATTTAGTCATTTGCACCTCAAATTGAATATTTTACTATTTTTTCCTGAACTTTTCAAGTGCCCCAGCCTTTTCGGCGCAGCACCATAACCTGAAAATTATATTTCGCTACCCGAGTAGCTAACCATCGACTGTAGACATGAGGCTAAACTAGATCATCAAACAAGGAGCAAATTATATATGTATTATCAGAAAATCAAAAGCACGAGGCGGCGGTGGGATGGGTTTTTGTGTATAGGTTGGACGGGTATCCCGGTCGGACCTCAAAGGTTTTTGGTGATGTCACATGTCATTCCTAGATGTATCGGAGGTGAGGCATGAAAGATGAATAGGTTTTTGGTGATGTCACGTGTCAATCCTAGACGTATCTCGGAATTGAAGCATGACACAAATTGTGGTTGAGGAGATTTGGAAGGTTAAAGGTTTGGAGCATAAGCAAATATTGTTGTTGGTATTGATACTGACGATGAGTAAACGAGGCAGAGGAGTATGAAGCTTGGAAGGCAAGAGAGATTGTGTGGATCAAGAATGACAAGGAGGACCGGCAAGGGTTGTGAAAGAGAAGGAGGAGCTCATGAAGGTTTTAGGTTTAAATCATATATGATCATGTATTTGATTTACATTTATTTTGGTTGAAGATTCATTTGCTTTGCTTTCCCTCTCCACAACTTCATTTGCCTATTCTATTTATGATAAATTGACATTTTCACCAGTCATGGCATTTGATTTTTATACATTTATCACAGAGAAAAAAAAAACTCGGCATTTTTTTTATTTTTGTTTTTCTGTGTGTCATTAATTTGGCCATTTATTTTTGGGATACGCTAGCCCGAACTAGGTATGACAACAATTTGATTTTGGGACAAAAATATCATATTCATCCCCATAATCACGAAAATGAGCCATATTTATAATCGCAAATTAACTATCGAGAATTATTCATAATCATACCTGCCGGGTAACAGATTCCCACTTGGTTATCAGTTATATTTATCTTTGTTAATGCAAAAAAAAAAAAAAATTATTCGTTCAACTAAGACATTATGATTTAATAGATATTGATTCCCTCATTAAATATCCACATCCAAATCATCATAACAATACTTTGTTGAGGTGTTCATGATAAACAAATTAAGGCAAATTGGTCCCATGAAAAAAAGAAATGGATGACAAAAGAAAAATACAACAACCACTATTGGAGAAAAGCGAAACAAATTATCAAAATAATTTTAATATGGACACGACATAGCACAACACATAATATATATTGCACACCATGACACATAATATATTTTTCAAGACAGATATGGATCAGAGACCCCTATAACCATATTTGAAACCATAACCTTATAAAACTCGCGGTTTTTCCCCATATCCAAAAATACCTAATTCGGACGGTTACCCACGGTTATTGGGTTTAATGGGCTGAATTGTCATCCCTACACAAACTGATTACTTTGCAATGATGGATTGATCTGCCAGTTAGTCTGTCTGTTTCTAGGATCACATTTATCTACATAATATATCTTACACAGCACAGCACAGCACAACACAACACTTAATATATACTATTCGGCACAACACAACAAATGATATATATTAGTCGATGCTGATTCATGGACGAATACGGATCAGGACCCTATATTCATATCCGAAACCGAATAACATTTAAGGTTTTCCCCTTATCCAAAACGTACGTATCCAAGGCATAATTAAAGGAAAATAGATACCAATAAACCTAAAAACCAGGGATGGCCCAACAAAGCTTCTCTACGAGTTTCCAGACGTATTCAGTAATTTTTATCTGAGGATGATGTTTGTTTCTGTGTACTAAAATGCTGATCGCCCAAAATTCCTACAAAGTAGTCAATGGCCGGGTTCACCTAATACCAAGGACTGAAATGCCGATATTATCGGCGATATTTCGCCGATAATATCGGTTTTTTGAGTTACCGATATTTTAATGCTTATCCAATGAGTTTTCGTCAAAATATCGCGATATTATCGATAATATAATATCGCGATATTAATATCGCGATATTATCGATATTATCAATAATATCGTGAGATATTAAATCTCTCTCGCCTCTCTCTCTTCTCTGCATCCCTAGAACCCATTCCCATCTCCCCCCCTTCCCCTTCCCTGCAACCCCCCACCCCTTCCCCACCCACGCCAACATCTCCCTTTCTCTCAGTTCACTCCCTCTTTCTCCCCCCTCTCTCGCACAGACTCTCCTTCTCACGCCGATCTACACTCACGCACCCATTTACACACCCACACCCATCGACGACGGTACCAAAATCATCATTGGCGTCAACCCTCTCTCCTTTCGTCTTCATGAAGCTCCGGGGCACCCAGAGAACACCCAACCCAGGTCCGGCGAGCCATGGGTGTGCGAGCCCAAGTCCCTGGTGGACCGTACCCATCTAGGCGATTGCAAATCCCAAACGCGCAGCAACTCTGAATCTACAACTTCCGATCTCGGCGAGCTTCTGCAGCTTTGCCATCTGTGAGCAAATGGAGGAAGAGAGAGTACGCGCAGAGAGAGAGAGAGAGAGAGAGAGAGAGAGAGAGAGAGAGAGAGAGAGAGAAAGAAAGAGAAAGAGAGAGGGTATTTGACATTTTAGTGTGCCGTTGCGACTGTGCAAGCTGCAATTTTTGTTTCACTTTGTAGTTCTAATTCTTCTAAAAGAGAAGGAAGATGAGAACCGAACAGATTTAATGGGAAATTGGGAAGGTGTTTTACTTTTCAAAGGGTCAAAAGGTCTGAATCATGAAACCGTATGATGATATGGGGACTCTGCCCTTGGGAATGTGAAACAAGTGGAAGGGCACACGGTTTTGAATTATGAAACCGTGTGCTTTTTATCTTTTCAATATATATATATATGGTTTAGAATTATATATAGAATAAGATAAAACTATATATATATATAAATGTTATATGAATTTTTTGGATAATGTTTTTTTTCCCTTAGACCATCAAATTATGTAGATAAAATAAATAATATAAAAAAAATTATCCAAATCCGCCTAGGCGCTAGGCCTCAGCTCGCCGTCCGACTAGAACCTAGCGTTTTTTAAAACTTTGGTGTGGTGGTCTGTGCTCCGGGGGAGAAGAAACAAGGACATGAATGAGGGAGAAGGTTCGAGGGATTGGGGAAGATGGAAACACGAGGAAGTGGGGTGTGTGTCTGTCTGTCTGCTCTGGGAATAAGACTTGCAAAGAAGAGATGGGGGGGAGAACCAGAGATGAATGAGGAGAGGAATGAGGGAGAAAGAAGTGGTCTGTGCGTGTGTGTCTGTGGAAATGGGATGTGTGTGTGTGTGTGTTATTCGAGAGAAGAAAAAAAAATCCAAACCTGCTTTCAAAACATCCAGCCCACGTGTCAGTGATCGTGCGGTTTGGTCTTCAATATATTCACCCTGCTTTTTGAAGCTACTGGAAATGTCTTCCATTTTGTTCCATCTCTTTTCCTTTTGATTTGCTCTCTCTATCTCTTCGTCTGTC